AAAAAAAAGAAAATAATATAATGAGAAGTTACTCTTTCCATTGCTGCCAGATCTGAAAGTCCAATTTGCCAGGATAATATATCCGGTGTGGATAAAGATTTCCAAAGTTGAAGTGTTTGTTGCTTAGCAACCTGGAGGCATGAAGGGGCCATTTGGGCTCTGCCATTGAACCCTTTGGGAGACCAGGCTTCACTCAGCAGCAGGCATGGGCTGAGAAGGAACCAGGGCTCACTCGGGCCTTGAGCCCACACTGTCCCTCCTCTTGTAGGTTTCTCCCCAGGTACTTGAGGGTAATAAAGTGTAAACAGAGGAGGAAGGGGAAGCAGAAAGAGGCAGAGAGAAAGGGAGCCGCCTAAAGAGAAAGGTCGCAGGCACTGAGTGAGTCTAAAAGAAAATACCAATTGTGCCTATGACTTGATCATTGGCTTTCGGCACACATGCAAATATCTACTATTCCAGTGCTGTGGAACGAGAATACTTTTGTACTTTGAAAATGCTATTTTTACTACTAACTGTAAAGAGAAACTATGTACATTATTATTATTGTGATTGTTATTATTATTATTGCTATTTTCCCTGTCTCAAGTTTCAGTGGAAACCTGCCGACCTACTCATCTGTGCTCTACATGAGGGGTGGGCACTGCAGTAGTTCCTCCAAATCCATTGCCCCTTCTCCTGGTAATTATTCTGGTGTTGGGTCCAGTTTGCACCCTGCCTCTACACAGTTCTAGCAACAGCAAAGAGGTGACTCTATACCTAGGGCCTGTGGCCCAGACCGAAGCTGGTGTGCTCAATCTCGTCTTCTGGCCATAGTTATTTCTTCGGGGACAGGACCGTGACCCCATTCTGACTACAGAGCTACAAGAAGAGAAGTTTGCTGGGGGTTCCCAGAAGAGCTCTTCTTCAGGCATCTGGGGAAATTTCTGGGGGTAACCCTGGTTTTTTCTCTCTGGGTACTTGCAGCCATTTTGGGGACCATAAGAGGGAGACAACCTTAAGATGAATCTGATTCTGGGAAGGGCAGGGTGAAGGGAGAGGAAGTAATGAACAATGAAAAAATCCTTGATGGTATACGCTACTGAATCAAACTGTTCCTGAAGCCCGACTTGATCTTCAGTCTCCAATTGTATAAGCCAATAATTGTCCTTTATTGTTTAAGCCAGTTTGAATTGGGTTTTCTGCTACTTAGAATCCAACATTTTTTATTGATGCAGTAACCTTTATTGAGCACCTATTCTATGCCTGTCACTCCATAAAATGCTCTTATATGTGTTATTGTCCCCTAATCCCCATGGTAACCTGACAGGAAAGGTATAACATTCCTATTTTTCAGCTGAAGAAAAACCCCAGTTCTAATACTGCAGTGGTTTGTTTGTAGTAGAGCTGGGATTTTGATCCAACGTCCTGACTTCAGAGCTCAGGCTCATCCCCAGGCTCAGATTCTCTGCTGGCAGGCGAGGAGATCTGCTCTCAACAGAGTGGGGAGGGAGAGCAGTAAGGGAGGTCAGAAGTGAGTCCTGAGCTGACAGCATTGACAAAGGCCAAGGCAAAGGCCCGAAGTAGAATCTGCAGTGGGTTCAGATGATCTGGCTGGTTCAGGGTCCTCGTGTGGTAAGCCACCCTCTGACAGCACGTGGCCCCCTCTCTGGCCAGGCCACAGCTTGCTTTTAATACCAGCACCCTGGACACCATGAGGAATAAAGACTTAATGACAACTACTCATCCCTATAAACATTTGCAAAGGCTTGTGAAATTTTATTTTATGTAACTTGTGTTTCCTAATTTAATGGCTTCCTTTCGGTGTCCCTCTTCCAAGTTAAGACATATCAGCAAACTGCTGGAATGACAAGACCATGGGGACGTGATGGTACTAGTTAACGTTCAGAGTATTTACTCCATGCCAGCCACTCTTCTGAGAGCCTTCCACATGCAGTTTGTAGGTTATGAGTTAGTGTATCGTCACCCCTCTGTTGTGAGTGTGGACATGGAGGCTCAGAGAGGTTAGATCTCTTCCTGAGATCACACAGCTACATCCTGTGCTCTCAACCACTACCCTATATTGCCTTTTCATGCAGACAGAATGAGGAAAACCTCTCACCAAGGTTCTTGGCAAACAGGATATAATAAGTCTAGTGACAGATCGAGCATTGCTTGACTCTAAGCACCAGAATAACCCCATTTGGTGTGGAAATGAACCAAGTGTGGCTATAAAGTTGTGAGACTGATATTTTAAAAACACACACACTTTATCATGCATATGACTGCCACACTTTTAGAAGTTATCCCTCACCCCATACTCTCACTTTTGAAAGAAAGAAAACCAGAAAAAAGATTCATATAAATAGCTTTGAAAAAGAAAAATGATGAGAACAGACCAGCACTGCCAGGCCTGCAGTATACTACAAGGCAGTATTAATTAAAACAGCATATGGTCCTGCGGATGAAAATAGACAAATAGATGAGTGGGAAAGGACAGAAAACCCCTCCACACTATTATTTGGTATACAGTAGAAGTAGTATCCCCTATGTGGAGGTTGGGCAGAATGTGGCACCCAGAAACATACTGATTTGGATTCTTTCCTCCTAGCCTATACCACATTAAATTCTGGCTAGATTAAAAAATAAGATGTAAAAAGTGAGTCCACAAAATATCTAAGAGAAAATTTAAGTTCATGATTAGGAAAGGCTGTCCTAAATACTGCACCAACAACCAAAACCATGAACAAATTTGTAGATTTAACTGTATAAAAATTAAATATTTCTGTATAGCAAATATACCACAAAATATACAAAAGACAAAGGTTCCTAGCCTTGACATACAAAGAAGTCTTATAAAATCAGCAAGATAAAATGGAAAACACATAGCAATGTCAAAAAAAAATCAGGTCGGGGCACCTGGGTGGATCGGCTGGTTGAGTATCTGACTCTTGATCTCAGCTCAGGAGACGATCTCACAGTTCGTGAGTTTGAGCCCCGAATTGGGCTCTGCGTTGACAGTGCAGAACCTACTTGGGATTCTCTCTCTCTCCCCCTCTCTCTCTGACCCTCCCCAGCTCATTCTCTCTCTCTCTTTCTCACTCTCTCTCTCTCTCTCTCACTTTCTCTCTCTCAAAATAAATTTAACTTTAAGGAAATGTCAGGTTGCTTTAACAAATTATTAGTGGAAGCATAAACTCACACATGATGAAATACAATCGTGCAACATACATCAAAGACCTTAAACATTTGACTCAACAATTCTCCTCCCAGAAATTTATCTTAAGAGAATGACTGACATATACACAGAGACATTTGTGTGAAAGATAGTCATCACAATGTCATTCACGATAATTTTAAAAGGTGAAATTAAGCTAACCATCTGAAGAGAGAATAGGTTAAATAAATGAGGGGGTCTATCCATTCAAAGAGCATTTAACAGTGATTAATGAAGATGGTATACATGTATATTAACTGGCATCGAAACATGTTTTTGATTTGCTGTTAAGTGGAAAAAGGAACTTATAAGTATGTATCAAAATATTGTACTTGTGTATAGATATAACCCTCTTCCTCTAAGAATCCCTAGTAAACTATCTAATTATATATATATATATACACACACACACACACACACATATATACACACACATATATACATGTATATATATGTATATATGTGTGTATTATATATATATAATATCTATGTTTTCTAATATTTTCTAAAATATACATTTCTAGGTAATAAACTTACATACATTAGCAAATTGTTTTGTATATATAAAATATCGCATAATAAAAAGCAAATACTGAGGGTGTGCTTATAAGTAACAAGACTGTTTCTTCCCTTTTTGTGGCCTGAGTGACTTTTGAATTGGCCCAGTAGGTTGCAAGGAAAAGCATGCGCTTTGAGAACCCCAATGACTTGGTTTGAAATTTCACTTATCCTATACTGGTTGTAAGATTATGGGCATACTTCTTAACCTTCTTGAGACTCAGGATTCTCATCTTCAAAATAAGAATAATATCTACTTTGCATGATTATATTATATGCCATACATGCAAATACGTAAGCCCCTATCTCGGTGACTGGTACCTAGAAGAGTGTTAGTAAATTGCAACAACTATTATTCTCCTTTAATTAACACTCAGCTTGAATGCCTCTCTGGATATCTTCAACTACCTTAGGCAGCTGGTTCTCTACTCACCATTTTTTTCATAGCTCTTTGTGGGCACCTGCTATTGCTTACTCTGCATTGACCCACTAGATGTGAGCTCCTGGAAGCCAAAGATCAAATGGGCCCATCTCTGGATCTAGGGGCATATAAATATTTGTTGAATGGATAAAGGAGTAAATGAATAACAACTAAGATCAATGACAGCAAGGCTGAAATAAGTAAACATTTCCCTAAGAGAACAACTTTTGAGGGCTACACTCAATGGTATATATATTATGGTTCATGTTTTAAAATGTTTTTCATTTATTTAGAGAGAAAGAGCATGCATGTAAGCAGGGGAGAGAAGGAGAGAGACAGAGAGAGAGACAAAGAGAGAATCCCACGTAGGCTCCATGTTCTAGAGCCTGACGCGGGGCTGGATCTCACCACCGTAAGATCACAACCTGAGCCGATATCAAGAGTTGGCTGCTTAACTGAGTAAGCCACCAAGGTGCCCCCATTTTCTTAAAAACTACCTGAATGTTATTTTGGAATCCCATCTCATGGGAAATGGGACTCTAAGATAAAATATATGATACATCAGGTATATTATACCAGTAGCAAATGCAAATATTTATTGAGTACTTAACTGTGGGCCTGGCACTATGCTAGGTGCTATTTATTTATTTATTTATTTATTTATTTATTTATTCGTCTCAAAAGATAAACAGTGAAGAAACTAATGATTAGAGAGTACAAGTCACTTGCATCCAGTATCTAGAGTGGCAGAACAAGGGTTTGAACTCACGTCTTTCTGGCTGATTTTGATTCTTAACCTATGCTCTTAACCATGACTCTCCCCAGCATGGCATTTCAAAGGCTTTATTGAGGAGAATGTTGAAAATCTTTTCATCACTGGATCCGTGGGCCTCAAGGGCTCTGGAGAGATGCCCCCAGCATGGATGGTGAGGAAGAGGAAGGGTGTTGTGATAAGAGGAGATAACCGAAAAGAATGAGAGAAGGGGGGATGATGGGGAGAAACAAGATGGGGTGCCAGACAGATTGGGGGGAAAAACCCTCTGTTGACCACCATGGCTTGCCATGTTGGGAGGCAGCATTTTTAATACTTGGGCAAAATTTTGAAGTGGGCCATACTAATGGCATAACCGAGGCAGGGATGATGGGTATGCAAGTGAAATTTTGTTTTGTTTTACAGTTTTAAAAGAACAACCATTATTGAAATAAGAATATTGATTTGTTGTGTTAAATTAAAGCACATTGACTGTCTAGGAAAACATTGGCAGTAGGAAGAGGTCTTTTACCTCCCTTCCCCACAAGCCTTAACCTTCCCCCCACCCCCCACCCCCAGCCTTTTCGGGTGTTCTATTTCTGCTAATCCTTGCTAAGAAGTAACTGGTGAGCAGGAGGTTAGCTGGTGGGGTCTCAAGGTGCGACCTTTCCCAGGGGCATTTGCATGTTAATAGAGGATACTGGGAACTCAGGAACAGCCTCCAGGTCTCAAATGAAAGAAGTCCTGAAGGTGGATGAGAGGCGTGGGCATGGCCCCCAGGGCCCCCCCTGCTGTGTAGGCCACGTTGATTCGGCCTGTGTGGATGGCCGCTGCTCTGGGCTTCTCTCCAGCTGCTTTTACAAAGAAGTGGTTTGGAGAAGAACAAAGAGATTGTGTTTATCCCCAGGCAAGTGTTCCCTTGCCAGGGCTATGTGCACAGTGCCCAGCTCAGAGTCTGCACCCAGACTCTGCTTTGCTTAATGGTTATTCGTTGAATGAATGAAGAAAACTCTTTCCTCTTCCTCCCTCCTCCCCCTCACACCTTCAGCCCTGTTGTCCATAAGCCCTTGAAGCCCAAGACTGAGGGCCCAAGACCGGGGCAACTTCTTTTTAGTGATAAGAACATAGCCAAGAAGAAATTCCTACCATTTGCATTTTATTATTTTTTCCTCCTTATAACTGGAAAACCTCAAAACTTGTGCTGAATTGCATGACCTCACTGACCACGTTTCATGTTCCTCGTTGAACTGCGGTTAAAACAATCTCCTTCTTAACTACGGCCAAACTGCAGAAAAGAAAATTCCTACGTGGACGTGTTCTCAGGCACAGGCACATTTCAGGGTCCTAGGGAAGGAAAGGGGCGGGGGACGGGGAGGGAGCCGTGAGGACAAGACTACTTTTCTGTTTGGCTGAATTCATCAAAAATGTCCAAACCCCATACCGAACATTCATCACTAATTAAATCCTAGCACCATAATTCAGAGAAAACAATTACAGCATTTAGAATTTTTAAAGGAACTATTATTGCTGCCTTGGCCCTTTTAAAAATTATGCTCCCCAAAGGACAAAATGTGATCCATTAATATGTATGTATTATTACTTTTTTTGTGAGGGAAGATTGCTGATGCCTGTGAATATGGAAGCATTTATCGGTTGCCGACAGCCGCTCAGTTGACTTGCAGTTTTAAGTGCAGTATTTTCTAGAATCTAAAAGGCTATAACATTAATTACCTTTTTGCCTTTAGCTGGTGGCCTGCTAGGTTCTGTCCCGTGTTCTCATCTCTAACCTTGTCACACTGGCAACCTGCTTATGGAGTGAAGGGGTCGTTCAGACCCCAGAGTCAAACGATTGCTGTGAGAGATGGCACAATAATCCATTCAGTTGAGGGTGGTTCCTCCCAGTTACCCTTGGTGCCCAGATGAGTTCTTGTTTTTTTGTTTTTTTTTTCATTTTTCAGGTGAGGCCCCTCTGCGTGGAGTCCTGTGCTCGCCCCTGAGTGAAAGGCATTCTGAATTTCGAAGTCAGGTCTGTGACTCTTCTACAGCGAGTATGCCCCTGCTAAACTGGGATCTGATTTTGTTTCTGTTTCATTTTATCCTTCTTTGTCTTGATAATTTAACAGAGTTACAGAGAACTGACTTAAGCCGAGTCTGGCACCAAGGATCACGGTTGGCCTCTGTGGAGCTGTAGTGCTTACTTGTGCGTGTGCACACGCGTGTGTGTGCGGGCACAGAGTACACATAAGTATGTATGTATGTATATATATATAAAAGCACGACTCAGAAACTTCCATTCGGCTCCCTGATCAGTCTATTGTCACATGCATTTGGCATTCATTATCCATGAGCCTCCGGCGCCTCTGGTCCTGTGCCCTGGCTAACAGTGATTTGGTTTATAGAGATCATATGGCAGGGAAACAGACCTTGAAAGACAGAGCTCTGAGAAGCACACTTGATGAATTTCCTATGATTTGAGTCTGGGTTTATTCTTCCCTGTGGCGGGGCAGACACCCCAGAGCACACGCGGCCGGCCTGGGAGCGCAGCGAGGAGTGGAGGCTATGACAATACGCACACTGTTTTTTTCTTCACACGTCTCGGGTTGCATTTCCTATCTGGGAAAAAAAGAAAAGGGAGCCTTGTAAGGGATCCAGAATCTGGGCAGGAAACCACACAGAGTGAAGGTTGCCATTGTCATTAGCAATTAATGTAACCACCAGGGCTGGAAGGAGAAAGCCCTGCCAAGGCTGAGGGGGAGGGGAGGGGGCGCAGAGGCTGTTGGAGGGGAGGGGGCCGCTTCCCCCATTCACCGGCTACCGGCTACCAGCTACCGTTGGATCCGTTGGTCAGAGGAAGGAGCAGGACATCTTCCCCAGCATTCACAAGAGATAGTATGGTGCTAGAAGTTTTTATTTTAAAACAAGGTGTCTAGGACTTGATAAGTTAGTTATAAAATGCCACTGCCACCCATTTTTAGTTTCTGTGGCTCCAGGTCTGATTCCTTAGTCCCTTTGATAGGCTATTTTTTTCTTCTCTTTCAGTCTGTTGAGACTCATTTTTTTTTTTAACAGTATTTACTGAGTGCCTTCTCTGTGCCAAGTACTTGGGGTGCTGAGCATGAAGTTGATGCTAATCTGCAACATGTGTTGAGTATATGTGTACCAGGCATGGTGCTGGGTATTTTCTACTCGTGACCTCATCCAGGCATCACTGCAACTCTCTGAGCTAGGTTTTCTTCTTACCCCAATTTACAGATGGCATAGCTGAGGCCCAGAGAAATTAATTTACTCTCTCCAGGTCATAAAATGAATGCATGGGCTAACTGGAATTTGAGCCCGGGCAAATTTGTCCCTTCAAACCTATGCTCCCAATACTTGTTTTATGCCCTCAAAGAGCCCATAGTCAGGGGGAGTTTCCAGCAAGTTAATCAATGATTAAATGACAAGGTGAGGTGGGCTGTGACAAGGATAAGTTTAGAGTCTTCAGGTGTCCAGAGAATAGACACCTAATCTACCCTGGGGAGACACTCAGGGAAGGCTGCCTAGAGGAGGTGAGTTTGACATTCCTCCTGCCTTCTCTTGTGCCTCAGTAGTATGTTGGCCAAACTAGTCAGTCTGGAAGTGGACATTAATGTAGTAGTATCTCTGCCCAGCTTCCTATATAGGCGTCAGAATGTTCTGTAGATCTGTCTAGTCACCAAAGATGTCTGCTTCCTGTGTCCTACGCAATGAAGTCCCAATTGGGACTGCCAGTATTTCTCCTACACTTGAAATGGATACCAATCTCTCTCCTATTCCTCCTCCCCCTTCCCTGTTTTGTCTCTCTGCTTCTTCATCCCTCCCCTTTCTGCCCCCACCCTCTTTCTCTTTCTTTCTGGTAGTTTAAAAAACGCCACTTTTCATTAATGTGACCAAAATGTCATCAAGTAGTTTAATGCTCTTTAATGTCCTTGTATCGTTTACGTTTTGCGAACAGTGTGGAAATGAATCCCATCTGTGGGTTCAAGAACATCAAAAAAGTTGGACAGGCTATTTAGACGTGCTACTTCACATTGCATTAGCGTGTACAATGTCAGGGGGCCGAGCCAAGCACGGTCTGTCCCAGCCTCAGCCCGCCCCTTCCCCAGCCTGGGAGGGACAGATCGCTTACCTCCAAAACTCAGAGGCAGTCTGGGGATGGGTTCTGGAAGGCTGCCCAGAGGCCCCAGGAAAAGTGTGAAGCCTAAATAAAAGATGAGAAATGATTCAGGAAAATCTCAATCTTCCTTTCTGGTGCCAAGATGCCCTAACAATAGCTTTTTCATCTCTCGGGTGAGAGGCTGGTTATAATGCTGTTTGACTTCTTCAAAAGTGATTAACTAGTCTCTCTGTCTCTCTGTCCCTGTCTCTTTCTTTCCCCTCCCCACCCCACTCCGGCTCCCCAGGGAAGGGAGCCCTGGGGCCCACATTAAGCTGGCAGTTTGCAAGAAGGTGGCTATAAACCAAAACTGACTGGAGGGTGTCAAGTTCAGGGCCAGCAGAGCTCATAAAAGTGGTGCTCTCTGGATGGCCTCGAGAGGGTCTCAAAACCTCAATCAACAGCGTTGGTGATTCCAGGATGACCCTGTTGCTGTGGCATCACCCCGGCAAAGGGCACTGATGTTGGAGTCACCCCACTTGAATTCTGGCTCCTCTGCTTTCTAAAAATATGCTCTTGAGCAAGGGAACCCCTGTGTCTGTTTCCTTTCCCGAAAACCAAGGTTACCAATTGTTTCAGCCTGCTTAGATGAGCTAACGGCATGAAGCGCACAGACTCCTGTCTGGCCATAGTAAGTCCTCCAGCAAGGTTAATCATCAGTTGTTCATAGTATTACTTTGTTATCCTGCTCTTGCAACCCCACCCCACCTACACTGTACCCTTCAGGTGTGCTTCCAGGTAGAGTCAGCCCCTTCTTCCCTTCCAGCTGAGCTCTCATCTCACCCTCTGCAAGGATTGCAGTGAGTGGGAGGGGCAGGGGACCTTGACCTTGACTCCAAAATATCCTGGCTTTTTCCCAGCTCTGTGGAAAAACCCCTCATTCAACTGCATTCCCTGGAAAGAAGGATGTGGCTTTTTATTTTCAGAAAAACAAAAACAAAAAAACGAACAAAACAAAAACAAAAAGCCACCCAGATCTTCTATTCTTCCCCAGATATGGGTAACAGCCGAGAGTGGATTTTGAACTGTTAATCATTATAGCTGAATGAATGATGACCCACCTCTCTAAAGGCTCTCAATCGGTAGCCAGTATTGTAAACCCCATCCGCCTTATTTTGCATTTGCTTTTATGAATGAATGTTCTTTAATTTTAAATGTAAACATAAGCAAATAACCTGATTGTTATTTCACAGTCTTCAAGACAAGGTCATTCTGTTTTAACTTCTAAGTTAAATAAACAAAAACATTCCTTTAATGCAATTACCAGAAAAATAATTTGCTTCTAAGTTCCTTATAGGATGTGCTTTATAAGATGTGCGCCCATCAACCTGTTGGTTATTTATGCTAAGGCAATTTGGAGAATGCCAAGGGGTGTTATAAGTGGACTTTCCTGGAGGCTTGTGAATGCAGCTTATAGCAGCCACCGCTCCAGCCTTTGGGCTGAGACTGGTGGGAAGGACACTGGGTTCTAAGAATCAGCAGGCCTGGTTCTAAGATCGGAATCATCACTTCTTGCTGTGTGAGCTGGGACAAGTCACCCAGGCTCACCCAGCCTGGACTTTTCCGTCAATGTAAAAGGGTTTCTGCCCGAAGGCGCTCTCAGTGTCTTGTCATTGTGACCATAACATGAGCTCATCCTTCAGGCTTCATGAAGAAGGTCTTTCCAGACCTCCTGACTGGATGACATGCTAGAGCCTTCCTTAACCCGTCTACTTTCCATCTGAACTCACGGCACTATTGTTGGCTGGTGGTATAGCACTATGGCTAACAGCACAGACCTGGGAGCCAAGCTCCGTGGGTTTGATTTCTGGCTCTGGGGCTTGCTGGCTGGTGACCCTGGATAAGTCACCCAACTTCCAAGGCTAAGAGTAGTATCTCTCTCAAAGGACTATTGTAAGGATTAATTGACTTAATATGCGTCAGGCACATAGCCCAGTGCCTGACACATAGCAAATGTTCTGTATGAGTACATCGGCTTTTATTCTGTCTTCAGTTATTTACTGTCTCTCTTTAGTCCTTCACTGAGAGTTCTCTGAGGACAAGCACCGCGTCTGCTTCCACTGCTGTAGCTCACCCACCACTGAGCACCGTGCCGGGCACCTGGAAGATTCTGACGATTATTCTTTGGATTGTGTTGAAGTAAAATAATGTAAAAATGCTTTGTAAACCACTGTGCAAGGAATTTTTTTTTTCTTATTAGTTCCGGAAGGAGTTTATTTGATGAAATATGTCCAGGGCTCTCTCAGAATTGCTGCTGCTGCTGTTGAATGTGACAACATTTTGATCAGTTGACTAGTCAGTTTATGAATCACACTTGTTACCAGTCTTCCCTGCATTTAGTTCTTGTCTTCCTGGTTTGTGCCGAGTGGATTTGCCAGAAAAAACTTGGGTTTGCTAATGCATACGACTCCACCACTCCACCGATGTTTACTGAGTGTCCCTTACAGGGCGGCCCCCGGCTGGGAGAGGCTGCAGACAGGAAGCAGAGTGGGACTCATTTTCAAGCTCACAGTCTAGGAAGGGAGGCAGATGTATGAATCCAGGCCTAGCCATGCATATTACAATAAATGAGCACCTGATTCAACCTGGGCCAGAGTCCTTCCTTAGGATTTTATATATGGTGACTGAGAGATGCAAGCTCTCTCTTTCGTTTGGGGTCAAAGGCTGGTTAAATAGAAGCCTGGACATGTCTGGAGACAGTACTTACTCTTTCCATGTTGTCTGGGGAAAGCCCATGTGACATTGCAAAGGATGAAGACAACCCGCAAAGTGAAATGGGGTGGGGAGTGAGGGAGAGCTTTGGGGATTCTTTGTCATTGCAGCAAAGCCGGACTACTCAACTCATATAGATGCCATCTCACTTAAAGGTCTTTCTGATATCATGGCCTGCAATTCCCACTCTTTGGAAAGCTTGGGAAATGAGTTAAGGGATTCCAAAGCCATGGATGTGCAGGAATCTTAAGCAGGGCTCTATTTGTATCTGTCTTGTTGTTGACATCCTAGTCCCTAATGAGGTCATTTGAACATCTGTAGCGTATCTGCCAAGAGCCAGTTAACTGGAAATGACATTAGTCACTGTTAGCACAGTGTCTCTTCCCCTTTCTCCCTTGGATCTGTGCCTTGGGGACACTCCGACACAGCTCAGAGGTTCTTAGGGGCCAGACATCAAAGGGAGGGATATAGTCACCAGCAGACCCCTGTCAAAACATTCAACATTTTACTTGTTGGCTCCCAACCTTTCTGATACTGAGCACCTCTTTCAGTAATCCTTATGTCTGAGTGTTGAAAGATCAAGTCTTCAAACATAAAGTGCTGATTAAGTCATAGTATACTTACTCGCTCACTTTCTATTAATCTGCCTTTGTATGTAGTACTGATCAGATCACACTAACAAGACAGAATTGATTTAATTTCAGACCAAAGACCTTTTAGTTGGGCTAGCCGGCATTAACTATGGTAAGAGGAATGTTCCTGGTAGGTCTTTTATTTTCTTTTTAATTTACTTTCAAAAATGATCCATTATTGTTATACCTTTGAAATGAATGAAACAGCTCAGGAATCCCTACTTTTTAGCACCTTAAAAATATGAGATCTAAAACTCCCTTACAGTCTGTCATTAATGCTCACTTTAAGAGGTGCCTGTGGGGCATGGGACCTGAGGTATAACACAGTTTGCACACTCACTGCCTACCAGACCCTGGGCCAGGAGCTTTGAAGTCCTAATATCTTTTGCTTATCTCCAGGCCCTGCAGAAGAACCAGAGGAGGGTCCAGCAGGACCAAGCTCTGGGATTCTTAATGTAGCTCTTAGCTCTTGGAGATGAAGTGCTAGTGGAGGCCAAGAGCCTCCAATTGACCAGTACAACCAATTGACATCAAGATCCTAGTGCCCACTGCAACGAGATTCAGTACCCAGAAGGACTGAGGACATGGCTGTTCTGAGGGGAGAAGATTGGTCCCCCTCCCAGCTTTGTGTGTGTGTGTGTGTGTGCGCCTGCGCGTGTGCGCATGCATGTGCACTCAGGAGTTGGTTTCCTCATAAATACTGCTTTCCTAGAGGTTTTTCACTATTTCCATCAACACAAGTAACCAGGCAACTGTGCTGTGACTTAATGGAAATGTTGGAAGGGGCCATAAATCTTCATTTTGGAGATGAGGAAACTGTAACCAAGAGGGGCTCTGAAGTGCTGGAGGTCACACATCAAGTAGGGGAAAGCCAACATTTCTCCCAGAACTTCTGGTTCCAGAGACTATCTAGCTCAGTATCCTTGGCATGCAGATGGGGAAACTGAAACTCAGAGAAGGTATGCCCTTGCCCAGGGTTATGATCAGTTCATGAAAGAACCAGGGGTAGAACCCAGGCCTCCTAATTCTAATTCCAGTGCACCTAAATACTCCAGATGCCTGTTACAGATGAGTGGGAACTTGGAAATTCACTCATTTATTCACCCACTCATTCATTCCACAAACCGGCTGGCCTTTATTACCTGTTAGAAGTGATGACACGTTTCCCAGAGGCCCCTTCAGCCATATCTCAGTGGGTAGAATTTCACCCCATGCTGAAGCCTAACCCAAGACTTTATCTCAGTTCCTAGAACTATGTCCAACACAGAACAGGTGTTCAGTACCGTTTGTCGAATGAATAAACGAGTGATTAATGGATAAATAATTGGCTTACACCATGAGGATCTACTGCTTGTGGATGGGGATGGGCAGTTTTTTGTCGTGGAGGATGCGTATGTGAGAAAAATTGGGTTCTACTAGCTCAGGAGGAAGAGTAAATGGATGTCTACTGAGTAGATGACCAGATGTCTACTACATCAAGCTTGTCCAGTTTCTATTATTACAGAGTCACCGAACACTTTTGGATGAGCTCAGCCTGTCCCACTCTATTTTGTTCACGCAAAACAGCCAGCAGGAGGGTGTGTACTGGCTCACTGGGGCTTGGCCAGGGTGGGAACACAGGGTGTCTTATTCTTTCGGTCCACAGCAAAGCCAAGAAATGAATTGTGACTTCCTGGGGCAGCAGGAACTCAGGGTTAGGCTCCATTTGTTATCTCCCCTGGTGACAGGCTGGTCCCCAGTGATGTCATCTGAGCATCTGCAGGCACCTCTGCCAGGAGCCCGCTAACTGGAAATGACATCAGCTACCAGCAAAGTGACTTGGGCGCCCAGCAGACACGTCCCGCTGATCCCCTGTCTGGAGCTCATCTCCTGCCTACCTGGAAGTCTTCTGGCTGGCACTTTGGCAAACAAAGAGGCATTTGAGAGGGAATTAAGTTGACTTTAAAAGATAGCCTCAAAGTGTTTCCCAACACATTGATGCTTACATTGAATTATAGGTGCTAATAAAGCTGTCAGAGCCTTGGCGCGAGAACCAAACTCAAGCTGAAGGATCCCTGGGAAATGAGAATTCATCTGGGCCTGGAAAGTCAGTCCCTGGTCCAGCTGGAGGCTCACACACACACACTACAAAGCTAAAAAAAGGGCTGGAATTATCCATTTCCACCACCTTATGGATTGGCCCAACGGGCTTGCCATAGACTTGAAGCAGAAGGCAGATTTGGGGACTCCTTCATGTGCCATTGTACTCCTGGGACTGTCTTAATCCCTTCCTTTATAAAACACTCAGTGTGGCCATCAAGACTGAGTGACTATCAGAATTCGCAGTTAGAAGGAACCATGTTTAGAGTGTTGAGGAAAAGGACCTACCACAGAGCACTTCTGGGACTTGCCTAAGATCAAGGACTTCAGTGTCTGTGATTTTGTGCAAACGACACACAGAGAAGTCCTAGATCTATCTCACATACAACTCTACTTACTAAGAATTTATTATATGCCAGTCCCTGTACTAAGCTCTATGCATTCATGATGCTTTGAAAGCATCCAGTAGTCCCTTGAGCAACTATGTGTGTGCATTCATTTCAACAAATACTTAGAAACTATGAGAATAGAGATCCTCAAACATGAGAACCTATAGCATTCTAGCCCCTGCACTGGACTCTCAGGACACAGTGGGGGACAAGACAGACACATACTATACCCTGTCACTTGGGCTCAGTGGAGTGAGCAACCAACATTAACAATTGTAAATGCAGTGAGTATTAAGGAGAAATCTGGGGTGCTGTGTGAGGATACGTTGGGTGAACCCAAGGCTGAGGTGAGAAGGCAGCCTGCCTTGAGGAGGTAAAATCGAAGCTAGGAGCCAAAGAATGAGTGGGGGTCAAGGAAGGCAAAATGTGTGCCAGAAGAGCCAGGCTGCTCTAACGCCCCTGTGCGAGTTTCCTATGGCTGCCGTAACAAATTATTGCAAACTCGGTGCCTTAAAACAGCACAGATGTAGTCTCTGACAAATTCTGGAGGTCAGAAGTCCAAAATCAGTTTCACTGGGCTAACACCAGGGTGCTGATGGGGCCGGTTCCTTCTGGAGACTCCAGGCAAGAGTCTCTCCTTGCTTCTTTCAGCTTCTGGTAGCAGCCAGCATTCCCTGGCTTGTGGCTGCATTACCCCAGCCCCTGTCCCAGCGCTCACAATTGCTTTTTCCCCTTCTCTCATCGGACCTCCCTGGCTTCCCTTTTTTGCAGACATAAACTTATGATTACATCAAATCCCCGACCCCCCCCTCCTACCCCCATATAATCCGGGGCCATCTCCTCCTCATCTTAAGGAATGTAATCACTTCTGCAAAGTCCCTCTTGCCTAATAAGCTAAGATTCACAGGTTCTGGGAATTAGGACGTGAATATAGTTGGGGACCATTATTCCATCTACCACAGTCACAAAATGAGGAAAAGCCTGGGAATGCATTTAGAGAAGTAGCATAGGATAACGATGGACATATGCACTCCGGGTGCTGACTCCTAGGTTTGTAACCTGGCTATAGCCATTCCTTGCTGTTTGATATTGGCTAACTTATTAAACCTCTCTGCATCTCAATTTTCCCATCTGTGAAGTGTGGCTAACAATAAAACCTACTTTATAGGATTAGAATACCGATAAAATGAGTTATTTCAAGTAAAACATTTAGAGTAGTGCTTCATATGTTTATGTGCTTAGTAAATGTTAGTTTTTATTATTATTATTAACTATATTTAGATATAATTTATTTA